GACGGGTGACCATCCCCCTTGCGGGGAGTGAGGCTTGTCCACCCCGCACAACATGATCTACTCGACCACCATTCATGGTTACCGCCAAATAAAAAACCGGAGGTAAAAAAAAAAACGGCAACCTGGTTGCCGAGTGCACGAAGTGAATTGGCTTGTTTTACAACGTCGTTACCAAGCGACGAAGGGGGAGAAAGAGATCGCGCTGCTAGGAATCACACGTGTTTGATGTGGGCGTTAAACACGCCTACGCTGTGCAGGTTACGCTGTGTTGGTATCCCCTGCCTAGGGCGTGTTCTACGCTACCGCACCTTAGACAAACGAGGAACTCTTGCTATGGACGGGAACTTAGCTAAGGCGCTCCCTCCCCTCCTCCCTGCCCCCCACGACACTTGCAGTACATGCGGCTGGTGGTGGCAAAGCAGCATTGCACCAGCTACCCCAAGCTGCACGCGATGCTGCGCGACATGGAGGCGCTGTTTACTCATATTTCCAACGTGAGAGACGCGCGGAAGGACCAACACTGATTTGTTTTTTGTTCCCTCCGCCCTCGCTAGGGACACGCCTGTACAACTGATTGTAATGGTTTCGGTATATTCATGCCATGTTCTTGCTGTCGTTGTCGTTGTTACTGCCTTCATTGTTTCGGTCGACGTCACTGTTTGACTTGATTTTCTTCGGCTGAAGCACACTTTATATATAATGAAAGGATGATAGCAAAGTTCATAGTTCTAGCGATCGTCAAATTTCCTTTGTGTTGTTGTTGCTGTTTTCAGCGGCTCCCGGAGTGCCCCGAGCGGGCCGAAGCCGAGGCGAAGATGAATGCGATCAAGCAAGTGGTAGCCCTCGCGGCGGCGGGGTTTTCCCCCCACACGGAGGAACTCACGCGCTGCATTCAAGGTTCGATGCCCTCCTACGCCACATTCATTGTGGACCGTTGTTCCCGTTGCACTGACGTGACTTGTCCTCCGCGTGTGGGAATGTTTGTGAGCGAGGAGCCTTTTCCTGGCACAGCCGTAGCGGAAGCGGGGAGCGAACAGGGGCAAAATTCCTCGAGCGTTTGTTTTTTTCGTTTGGGACGTTATATCCGGCCCTGCACGATAATTTGGGCATTGTTTATGTTGCACCTCGCGTTGCTGTCGTTCAGGGTGGGTCCCTGAGTGTCAGCTGGTGGACACACAACTCAAGTTGTTGCAATGGAGGGGAAACTAGCAAAGAGCGATGTTATTGCAGAGAGGGCGTAGATGGATCGTCAAGTCGCTCACTCACGCCGTCCTTTTTCCTCTTTTTTTATTAGGTCCCAAACCTGAGAAAGGTCTGCGAGACATTCGACGTCTGTAGCACGATTGTATATCTCGATCGCACCAATTCCAACGTCACCCTCGGGTGAAGGCAACATCACTTCGATGTATGTAACGTCGCAAGCAGGCACTTGACGGACACATGTCCCCGTCAAACTCTGCTACAGTGTGGTACCCGAACTAACGGCAAGAAAACACCACACCATACCATCAATCAAAGCGAGAGTTCCTCCGCCCCTCCTCATCCTTTCCCTCCGCGGCCTAGCCACGATAAATCCAAAGGTTTTTGCAACCCGCTCTCACGAACCACCCGCCGACCCTTTTTAACCCCGACGCCACACACAACAGAGGACCACGATCGCCGCGATAGTTCAGCGCGCAGCGAGACCGACAGCGATTCTCTCCCCGCCGCCCTCGCTGCGGCCCAAGAACCGCGGGAGTCCTCCCCCTCCCTCCCCCTCCCCCGACGAGGGGCAGACCGCCACAATCACAAGGGCAGCGCGGTCGCGGGAGGCGAGCAAGGTCTTAGAGCGGGGCCCGGTCTCCTTCCCGGCCCTTACTCACCCGGCGGCGGAGGCGGAGGCGGAGGCGGCGGCGATGCCAGCAACGAGGCGAGACCTTTCGGCAAAGCGGTGGTTCAGCAGTCGAGGGAAGCGGTGGCAGCAGCAGAAGGCTCTGCCGTCTGGAATAACGGGGGCGGTAGCGCGGCGGAGGTGTCGCCGTCGCCGTCGCCACCGACCGCCGGCAAGCGGCGGAGGGTGCCATCGATCGAGGAGGAGAACCGCGCCGAGATCGGGCGGCATCAGGCGGGAGCCTTCCTGCCGGCTGCTGCAGCGGGCGCTACCACCGCGGCCATCGATCTCCCTGCTGGCGTCGCCGCCGCTGACGGCACGTGGGTGTCACACATTTACAGCAGCAGCAGCAGCCGCGGTGGGAGCAGCAGCAGTGCAGGAATTTTCGGCGGCGCGGGGGGTAGCAGCAGCTCCCGGAAGATGACCATCACAACCACTATCAGCAGCAGAAGCGGCAGCCGCGGCGGTGATGGCGGTAGCGAAGGTGTTCCTTTGGCGCGAAGCAATGGCGACGCGTCGTCGGCGATCAAGGTTGCCACCAGGGTGGCGGCGGCGACGAGGGGCAGCATGAAGGTCGGGGTGACGGCAAGGTTGCGGAGCCCGTGGCGGCCCGGCGGCGCGGGAAAAGGCCCGTCACTGCCTGTTGTAGGGGGAAAAGGACAAGGAGCCGGAGGAAGGGGGGGAGGGGGGGGAGGCCCGCTACTGCCTGCAGCGGGAAAATTACAAGAAAGAGGAGGAAGGGGAGGAGGCCCTTCACCTGCAACCGCTGATGTGGCAGCGGAGACGTCACCTTACGCGGTTCACCCGGCGTTCTGAAGGGCTGTATCCTACCACTGCTTTGGCAACAGGAGGGTTTTTTAGTTCCCACTGTTGTGTCGTTTTGTAAGCATGCATGCACATCACCTTGCTAAGACCAGTATACGATGTTAGACGCTTGATTGAGTGGGTGTGCATGCTTGAGAGGCTACCCCCCCCCCCCCCCCCCCCCCCCCCCCCCCCCCCCCCCCCCCCCCCCCCCC